TAACTCAGGGAATCTGTCTCATGTCCCACCATTACTGTACAAGCGAGCGGCCCATGTCCTTTTCGCATGCTATATCATTACTTTTTAACAAGTCACTAGAGACTAGCACCTTCCCGAAAAATACTCAAGATGGCAAGGGTTACACCAATACATAAAGGTGGTGACCCTACAGACTTAAACAACTATAGGCCAATATCTAACTTACCATTGCTATCCAAAATCTTTGAGAAACTCGTGCACAGGAGACTGTATTCATTTATAACGGCACAAAACATACTCAACCCCTGCCAATTTGGATTCAGGAAAAATAAAGCACTAATGATGCAATCATAAAAATGCTAGATCTGCTTTACACAGCATTGGAAAATAAGGAATATCCACTAGGAATTTTTATTGACCTAAGAAAAGCTTTTGACACAGTAGACCACGACATCCTACTCCACAAACTTGATCATTACGGTATAAGAGGCCATGCACTTGCTTATTTCAAATCTTACCTTACTAATAGGTATCAGTATGTCACCATTAAAGACACAGCATCAGCAACACGGCCACTTGATACTGGAGTTCCGCAGGGAAGTGTCCTTGGTCCCCTGCTCTTCCTCATATACATCAATGATCTTCCAAACGTATCCCAACACCTGAAACCCATTCTCTTTGCTGACGACACGACTTATGTCATCTCTCACCCTAATCTTGCCACCCTCAACACCACTGTTAACGAGGAGCTGATCAAAATATCGACTTGGATGACAGCCAATAAACTTACGCTTAACACTGACAAAACCTACTATATTATGTGATGACTGGTTTTGACAAACCGACAAGTTGAAGATTGAGACACTTATGCAACATATGGGAATCTTTATTCAGGAAACGTTTCGCCACATAGTGGCTTCATCAGTCCAATACAAAGTAGAAATGCGCAAGGAGAGGAGGAGTTTGAGGTAATCAGTCCCTCAGCCTGGAGTCGATGTGTTCAGTCCATTAATCCTGTAGAATGTAACATTCTACAAGATTAATGGCATCATGGGATCTTGTTACAAAGAATTCTTCTACACTTGTTCAACCTTTGGACGAAGATCTACTTCGACTAGTGGATGGTACCACTATGACCCCACCTCCTCCTGCTTTACCTCACCTCACTACAGTATATAAGCCACGTCTACGGCCCTATGCTGTACATTCTACAAGATTGATGGACTGAACACATCGACTCCACGCTGAGGGACTGATTACCTCAAACTCCTCTCCTTGCGCATTTCTACTTTGTATTGGACTGATGAAGCCACTATGTGGCGAAACGTTTCCTGAATAAAGATTCCCATATGTTGCATAAGTGTCTCAATCTTCTACTATATTATGTTTGGTAGCAGAGCAGGAGATGCACAAATTAACATTAAGATTGACAACACTCTAATTACCAGACATAATGAGGGCAAATTCCTAGGCTTATACTTTGACAACAACCTGAATTTCAGCACCCATATCCAGCATATAACCAAAAAAGTACCCAAAACGGTTGGGATCCTCTCCAAGATACGATACTACATGCCGCAAAATGCCCTTCTCACACTATACCACTCATTTATCCATACCTCACCTATGCTATTTGTGCTTGGGGATCAACTGCAGCAACACACCTAAAGCCAATAATAACCCAACAAAATGCTGCAGTAAGAATAATCACTAAATCTCATCCCTGGCAACACCCCCCCCCCCACTCTTCATAGATCTAAACTTACTCCCTGTTCAGTACATCCACACTTACTACTGTGCAATCTATATCTACAGGGCCTTAAACTCTAATATCAACCTTGACCTAAAACGCTTTCTTGATAGTTGTGACAGAACCCACAGGCATAACACCAACACAAACATCTCTACGACATTCCCCGTGTCCGACTAAACCTTTACAAAAATTCAATGTATGTCAAAGGCCCTAAAATCTGGAACACCCTACCTGAGAACTCTAGAACTGCAGACACATTAATCACCTTCAAAACTACCATTAGAAAACATCTCATCTCCCTGATACACCCCATCAACTAACTACACGAATACCACCTGGTGGTTCACACTTACACTCACCCATTTGACCATAAACAGAAATATTAATCTCAATCTTATAATGAATCCTGTGATACTCCAATACTGAAACTATGTACTGTGCCAAAACAAAAGCATTCACATTGCTAAACTCACGAACTAGTATTTAGTCACTTAGCCATAATACCAACTTACCTCATAATTTGTAATATTTTACAATTAAGAATTAAACTAAGTCTGCCCGAAATGCCAAGCCATGCTAGGTGTTCTAGTGGTACACTCTGTAATCATTATTTTACTACATGTAAACCACACAATAACCAAATTTCTGTAAACTCAGCATTGTAATCCTTATAGAGAATAAACTTTGAATTTGAATTTGAATGTTCATTTCACTACTACACTTGCTGCCTCTGTATTTGACTGAAGAAACCTACTGAGTAGGCAAAATGTTTCAACAATAAAGATACCTAACTAGTACATGTGTCTTACTCATATCAGGAAAGCCGGAGGTGAATCACTGCCGTAGTGTATTAGAGGTCTTCCTTTTTCTTGAGAGTAGGCTGAGTGAGCTCCTCCACAGTAAAGGCAAGTGGGTGTTGGCTGCAGGATGGATTATTACAATCCATTACACTGCAGATCATCCATCAGGATGTTACTCAACAATCACCACACATATATTTTCAGGATTAAAGCGTTCTTGATTGGTGGTAAACAGGTGACGTGTAGCCTTAATAATCTTCGTGTGGTCGCTAGACTTTAAACCTCAATGATCGACTAACACCTATACCTGGAGGGGCTCTGCGGGGTTAACGGTCCGGTCCATGACCAGGCATATATTTCTAAATAGGGGCGGTAGGTGTAAAGAAACCTACCTGCCCAATATGCCACTTACAACAGTCAAGCCAACTAAAGCAGGTACCTACTTACTGATAGGTGAACAGGGGCACGCTCCTGCAACACATTCCCACTCCCTTGCAACACATTCCTACGCCCCTGCAACGTTACCACGCCCATTTAGATTATGGGGCCCTAGGACCGTGAATTTCCCACGTTCGCACGAGCCCCCTGGTGGTTTATGAAACTTGTACGGACCTGTGGTGGTCTATGGACCCTGAGACTCCCACAGGTGGGTCATGGACCCTGAGACCCCCACAAGTGGGTCATGGACCCTGAGACCCCCATAGGTGGGTCATGGACCCTGAGACCCCCATAGGTGGGTCATGGACCCTGAGACCCCCACAGGTGGGTCATGGACCCTGAGACCCCCACAGGTGGGTCATGGACCCTGAGACCCCACAGGTGGGTCATGGACCCTGAGACCCCCACAGGTGGGTCAGGGACCCTGAGACCCCCACAGGTGGGTCATGGACCCTGAGACCCCCACAGGTGGGTCATGGACCCTGAGACCCCCACAGGTGGGTCATGGACCCTGAGACCCCCAAAGGTGGGTTATGGACCCTGAGACCCCCACAGGTGGGTCAGGGACCCTGAGACCCCCACAGGTGGATCAGGGACCCTGAGACCCCCACAGGTGGGTCAGGGACCCTGAGACCCCCACAGGTGGGTCAGAGACCCTGAGACCCCCACAGGTGGGTCAGAGACCCTGAGACCCCCACAGGTGGGTCAGAGACCCTGAGACCCCCACAGGTGGGTCAGGGACCCTGTGACCTCCACAGGTGGGTCAGGGATCCTGAGACCCCCACAGGTGGGTCGGGGACCCTGAGACCCCCACAGGTGGGTCAGGGACCCTGAGACCCCACAGATGGGTCAAGGACCCTGAGACCCCCACAGATGGGTCAAGGACCCTGAGACCCCCACAGATGGGTCAAGGACCCTGAGACCCCACAGGTGGGCCAGGGACCCTGAGACCCCACAGGTGGGCCAGGGACCCTGAGACCCCACAGATGGGTCAAGGACCCTGAGACCCCCACAGATGGGCCAGGGACCCTGAGACCCCCACAGGTGGGTCAGGGACCCTGAGACCCCCACAGATGGGTCAGAGACCCCTGAGGTTCCACAGGTGGGTCAGAGACCCCTGAGGTTACACAGGTAGGTCAGAGACCCCTGAGGTTCCACAGGTAGGTCAGAGACCCCTGAGGTTCCACAGGTGGGTCAGGGACCCAAAGAAACCCCTGGTTCTTTACAGTGTATAATGCACCAGTGTAGGAAAGAGTACACAAGCGCTGGTCAAGAAAGTTAGCGGGTAAACAGACGTGTCAGCAGCCGGATAGATAGTGGTAGGTTGGCCCATCAAGGAAAGTACCTTGAAGGGCTCTTCGTTCAAGGAATGGAAGCTACTTCTCCCCTGCCTTGGATCCAACCTGAGTATCTCTTATTCCCCAGGCACTGCTTTATACCAGAGAGTTTAGCTCTTTCCCCACGAGTATAATACATGACTGTGTTCAAAGTTTAAGGGTGAAGGAATGAGTTTTTTCGCTGGGCGTGTACACACACGCCCAGCGACTAGCACCTTGCTGGCGTGTGTCCACGCCATCTACCACCACCGTGCTGGCGTGCGTGTCCACGCCAAGCTACCACCATCGTGCTAACGTGCGTGTCCACGCCAAGCTACCACCATCGTGCTGGCGTGCGTGTCCATGCCAAGCTACTACCATCGTGCTGGCGTGCGTGTCCACGCCAAGCTACCACCATCGTCCTGGCGTGCGTGTCCACGCCAAGCTACCACCATCGTGCTGACGTGCGTGTCCACGCCAAGCTACCACCATCGTGCTGACGTGCGTGTCTACGCCAAGCTACCACCATCGTGCTGGCGTGCGTGTCCACAACCAGCGACCATTATCTTACACGTGAAGTTAACTCACTGTCTTGGCTTCCCATCCTAAGCTTAGAGAAGTGCGCCTCTTGGGGTGGTGGTTGGGGAGAGGAAGTATGGCGGCTGTGTTCCATCCTGGCATCCTGGCAGCCTGGCAGCCTGCTGCTGCTGCTGGCTGCTTCATTCCCTCGTCCAGTGCGAGGCAGAGCAGGCGGGTGGGCACACGCTCGCCTCCATCACCCTGGCACTCATGGCACCCGTGGCACCCCTCCCTCAACACTTCCCTCACACTCAGCTTTTCTGACGCATCGCAAGCAGCTGGGTCTTCACCCTCTTAATACACCCACTTGCTTGTAGCAGTGTGGAGACACCAGGTTGTGTGTGCCGCCTCCTAGGATCACCTTCCTGTCTTCAACACCTTTTATTTACATGATTGTGCAGAGTATTTACATCAAAGTGAAGTACTTATGTTAATATACGAGAACAAAATAGCATAAAATAAGTGTAGTTTATGTAATTGCAAGTTGAAAAAAAATGAGAGTTTTGGTGTGGAGAACTTAATAGAATATACTCTATTATAATATATTAGGTGACATACTATTATATTTTTAAATTACCAGATGTTGATGAGTAAAACGGAATTACCATTTTTTTACTTTAATTATTTTTTTTGAAATATTTATGGAAAGGCTTGTCACTCAAAGAAAATATCCTTTAAGTCGTAGATCAATGAAAATCAAGTCTTTTCCTACATTAGGAAGTTGTGTAACAAGTGGCGGTGATGGAGGGGACTGTATTATGGTGACCTCCAGACCGGTAGTGGTCTTGCTAGTCACAACAACAAATAACCTTTCTAGGATCTTGTGTGTTTGTGACTGGCATAATGTGCAGACATCTTACAACGCCGCCCTTCATATATATCTTGTCTTGTAACTGCGGCCAGGACTAACACACATCTGCAGGACACACACCTGCGGTGGCGCTGTCAAATACAGCTGCAACAGTATCAGCAGAAGGTAAGATACATTACGCACTTAGTAAAACCTTCCTGTCGATGTATGACCGAGTCGAGTTTAGCGCTTCTCACTGATTATAATGATAATAATAATAGTAATAATAATACGTACAGAACCTTCACTCTGAAGGAGGTAAGGATGCTGCAGGTTGGTCATGTGAATTGCGATATCTGCTCATTTCTTGCAAGACAGCTATTGAATGAATGACGGTAAATGTGTTTCATTGTTTTCTCGCGTCACTACCTCGGCGGGAGACTGCTAGTGTGTTTAAAAACCAAAACGGAAGATAAAGTGACGATAATCGTCGTCTACGTAGCAGAGCGAGAGACTGGTCAGCGCTGTGTTTTCAACACTGTTTACTTCATGTCTTCCTTAAGAGGCACGTAAGTTCCTCCGTCTTCTAATAACTTGTTAATTTTTTCACTGTAATCTACCTTGTCCATAGTTATTATCGCAGCACAATTGTCATCAAATATTTGTTAAGTTATACCATGAATTAATGAAAGATCCTGGACTTCACCTTACGAAACAGACAAAACAAATGCGATATTAATTATGAACAAGGTAGATTATAGTGGAAAAATGAACATGTTATTAGAAGACGGAGGAACTTATGTGCCCCTTAATTAATGCTACTGAACGGCTCTTAATTCAAGGAATTCGAGTTAGCCAGGTGTGACCTGACGAGGGGGAGGCTATCATCTGTCCTTCAGGCGCTACATGTCCCATACGGGTCTAGCTATTTCCCATGAAATAGCAATGACAAGGGTCAATAAAGGCAGGAGCAGCACTGCCATACAGGTACTGGTCAGCAGGAGTGAACAAGACAACCATCACCAAGGCCAGGCGTTACCTGACGCTCTTGGATCATATTCTCAATAACCAGTTATTGTTTTTCTCTGTTCTTCCGGGTTTAAAGCTTCACAATAAATAACAATAGTAACAATAAATAATAAATTTCCTTTATTACCGGACGGCTTGATCGCCTTCCATTCCCAAGGCGCTGCATGACCCTCTAAGGCGGTCATATACATAATTAATTCTACGTAATAGTAAATAAATTCAAAATTATATATTTAGTAGAATCAGGATAATATAAATAACATTAGCTTTCTAAGTTAAGTTTGATGCAATAATCAATATTTTTACGCAGGTTTCTCAGTGAAAAAACTGTTTATTCGTCCATAAAAGAAAATTTTGGAAAAGTTCAGTATTTAGGACAGTTCGACCTAACTGACAATTTCGGCTTATTAAGCACGACATATAACCTTAACGAGTAAATTTATTATAAAATCAAAGGGAAAATGTAATTAAACTGCATCACTTGATGTTGTAGGGCTCTTGACCCAATTAATTGGTACCCTCCCTTTCCTCGGATCAAACGGGATTAGCTAGAGAGGTATGAGCTGTGAGGTACAGGAGCTAGAGTGAGAGGTATAACATGTGGCTTTAAGTATACTATGATGAAATATACAAGACAGGTTTGTGGTATGTTAGGACTGGGTGCTGGAGGGAAGGGTAATGATTAGTGGAATGAAGTAAGCTCGGTTAACTGTTAACGTATCGTTGTAGAAGACGAGGATTAGTATGTGTGTGTGTGTGTGTGTGTGTGTGTGTGTATGTGTACTCGCCTAATTGTAGTTGCAGGGGTCGAGACTCAGCTCCTGGCCCCGCCTCTTCACTGAACGCTACTAGGTCCTCTCTCTCCCTGCTCCATGAGCTTTATCATACCTCGTCTTAAAGCTATGTATGGTTCCTGCCTCCACTACGTCGCTCGCCAGACTGTTCCATTTCCTGACCACTCTATGACAAGAAATACTTCCTAACATCCCTGTGGCTCATCTGAGTCTTCAACTTCCAAGAGTGACCCCTTGTTTCTGTGTCCCCTCTCTGGAACATCTTGTCTCTTTCCACCTCGTCTATTCCACGCAGTATTTTGTATGTCGTTATCATGTCTTCCCTATCCCTCCTGTCCTCCAGTGTCGTCAGGCCGATTTCCCTTAACCTTTCTTCATGGGACATTCCCCTTAGCTCTGGAACTAACCTCGTCGCAAACCTTTGCACTTTCTCTAATTTCTTAACGTGCTTGACCCGGTGCGGGTTCCAAACTGGTGCTGCATACTCCAGTATGGGCCTGACGTACACGGTGTACAGTGTCTTAAAAGATTCCTTACTTAGGTTTCGGAATGCTAATCTCAGGTTTGCCAGGCGCCCATATGCTGCAGCAGTTATCTGGTTGATGTGTGCTTCCGGAGACGTGTTCGGTGCTATACTCACGCCAAGATCTTTCTCCTTGAGCGAGGTTTGCAGTCGTTGGCCACCTAGCCTATGCTCTGTCTGCGGTCTTCTTTGCCTTTCTCCGATCTTCATGACTTTGCATTTGGCAGGGTTGAATTCGAGAAGCCAGTTGCTTGACCACGTGTCCAGCCTGTCCAGGTCTCTTTGAAGGCCTGCCTGATCCTCATCTGATTTAATTCTCCTCATTAACTTCACATCATCTGCGAGCAGGGATACCTCTGAGTCTATCCCTTCCGTCATGTCATTCACATATACCAAAAATAGCACTGGTCCTAGGACCGACCCCTGTGGGACCCCGCTCGTCACAGGTGCCCACTGTGATACATACCTCATCACGTACCATGACTCGTTGTTACCTCCCTGTCAGGTATTCTCTGATCCATTGCAGTGCCCTTCGCGTTATACGCGCCTGATCCTCTAGTTTCCGCACTAATCTCTTGTGAGGAACTGTGTGTGTGTGTGTGTGTGTGTGTGTGTGTGTGTGTGTGTGTGTGTGTGTGTGTGTGTGTGTGTGTGTGTGTGTGTGTGTGTGCGGCCCCCCTCAACCACCTTCTACACCACCTCAACCACCTGCTACATCACCTCAACCACCTGCTACATTACCTCAACCACCTGCTACATCACCTCAACCACCTGCTACACCACCTCTCCACCTGCTACCCACCTCCCACCTGCTACACCACCTCACCACCTGCTACATCCCTCAGCACCTGCTACACCACCTCAGCCACCTGCTACACCACCTCAACCACCTGCTACACCACCTCAACCACCTGCTACACCACCTCAACCACCTGCTACACCACCTCAACCACCTGCTACACCACCTGCCATGAAACTCTTTGTTGCCATACAGGTGTTAAAGATGCGCTACTGGGAGCACATCTGCTGCTTCTTGATGTCTCCACACCTGCTACTGCAATCCTCTGTCTCCACACCTGCTACTGCAGTCCTCTGTCTCCACACCTGCTACTGCAGTCCTCTGTCTCCACACCTGCTACTGCAGTCCTCTGTCTCCACACCTGCTACTGCAGTCCTCTGTCTCCACACCTGCTACTGCAGTCCTCTGTCTCCACCCCTGCTACTGCAGTCCTCTGTCTCCACACCTGCTACTGCAGTCCTCTGTCTCCACACCTGCTACTGCAGTCCTCTGACTCCACACCTGCTACTGCAGTCCTCTGACTCCACACCTGCTACTGCAGTCCTCTGACTCCACACCTGCTACTGCAGTCCTCTGACTCCACACCTGCTACTGCAGTCCTCTGACTCCACACCTGTTGCTGGTGTTGGAACAGTACAAGTATACAACAGGATACGGCAACTGAGATCAGCATAGTAAGGGAGCAGCCTAGATAGCACCTGAGGTCATGATTTAGTTTCTGAGGTCACTACAGCCACAATGGTCAGTCTCGAAATGAACACACTGTCACGAACACAGCCACAAACACCCTCATCAAGTAGCTTTTGTCGTTACCTGCTGTTCCTAGTGATATCAGAATGCATTTGGGTTGTGTTCTTGTGCCTGTGTTCTGTGTATCGTACCTGTGTTCGTCTTTTGCCAGTATTTTCTGTCTTCCCAATAATGGGGCAAACGTACACCAGTTTTATAATGTGCGAGGAGGACATAAGGTACATAGATGGGGAGTTGCAGAATAGAAAGATTTACAACCAGGAAGATTCTAAATCTCTTTCTATTCCGGCAGATATAGAGAGAAGGACGAAGAGAAATAAGAAAGGATGGTTAGGGGAGGGTACTGGAGGATGGAGAAAGAAAGAGTTGTGGGAGAGAGGAAACGTACAGAGTGTGAGGTTGGGAGAGAGAGAGGAAAGAGATAGGGAGTGCCGATGGGGAGGTAAATGTGATCATGGTAGGGGAGAGGAGGGGCTGGGATGGGTGAGAAATGAGAGGTGGATGTTGGAAGGGAATGGAAGGACGATAAGGGGTGGGTAAGTGAGGCACAAGAGTGGGGGAAAGAACGAAAGTGAAAATTTAATTTAGGGTAGGAAGAGGGAACTTGTGGGGACTGGAAGTGGGGTCTGGAAATTGGAACTGGAAGTAGGGAGGGGGAGAGAGAGGCATTATTATGCCCCTACACGAGTGGGTATTATCTGTTAAATAAAACTGGGTTCAGCATCAGGGTGCTGGTACCCTACTCTACATGACTGATACACTGTAGGAAGAAAGTCCCGGTAAATGGGTACTGCAGGTGAGGTCGGGCAGGGCACTGGGGCTTCTGTTATTCCACCTTCCTCCTTACTGCCCAAGGAGTTCTAATACAATTAATTAGTTTACCAAACAAGATTCAGTACTCCTTATAACTCACCCTACAATTTTGTGTGTGTGTGTGTGTGTGTGTGTGTGTGTGTGTGTGTGTGTTTCCAATTGTACTCTTCTAAATGTGGTTTCAGGGCGGGTCGAGTCTCGGCTCCTGGCCCCATCTCCGCTGGCTTTTACTGGGTTCACTCTCTCCTGGCTGTATGATCCCTATCAAGCCTCTTCCTAAAGCTATGTACGACTTCTTCCTCCACCACTTTGCTTCGACATTCCGCTTCCTGACCTCTCTAAGGTTAAAAATGATATTTCCTAACATCCCTGTGACTCATGCTTTTGTGTGTATTTACTTACTTGTGTCAACAGAAGTAGAGTTCGTGGTGTTGTCTCTCTAACTTCAACAACACGTACAATTTTATTGAAAATTTCC